TGTGTGTGTGTGTGTGTTTTGTGTGTGTGTGTGTGTTGTGTTGTGTGGTGGGGTGTGTGTGTTGTGGTGTGTGTGTGTGTGTGTGTGTGTGTGTTTTGTGTGTTGTGGTGTGGTGTGTTGTATGTGTGGTGTGTGTTGTGTGTGTTTGGGTTTTTGTGTGTGTTGTGGTGTGTGTGTGTGTGTGTGTGTGTGTGTGTGTAAAAGGGGGGTGTGTAGCTAAAAACCGTTTAAGGGAACCTGATGATATCCCATTTGCTACAGAAGTCTTAGACTGACACATCAACACTGTAAATTGTGCCTCCTGTATGAGGAAGATGACAACGAAACACAGCTAGCCATTTTTTTCCCCCTGTGTAAACTATTAAAGGAAGGTGTAGCAACACTTGGGGTTTCCCCCAGTGTTCTCATCCGGAGATTCCCACAAAACACACATGTTTTTTTTCCCTGGGCATGAGGGGACACAGGTGCCGTTTCCTGGATTTACCTGGAGAGAGTTCCGGGGGCAAAGCCCCCGGGCCCCCTCTGGACCAGGCCTCCTTTTGGTCAGTGTCCCCCGGATGGACCAAAACCACGACTAAACCCCCGGGACCCTTTTTTCTGAGGGGAACATAGACAACGGTGGAAAAAAACAGTCCAATGTTTTACTTGGCTGGGGAAAACGAAACCCGGGCCTCACCTGGAAGCGAGAGCTTAACCACCCCGGCCACCCGAGCCCCACGTTATGCAGGAAATTAAGAACTTGAATATTAGACCCAATGTGGGTTTCCCGAAGCTTTTACCACAGGTTGGGGTTTCCAGAAGCTTTTGACCACAGGTGAGTTACCAGAAGCTTAGACCCCAGTGTGGTTACCAAAAGCTTAGATCACAACGTGGGTTACCAGAAGCTTAGACCACAATGTAGGTTACCAGAAGCTTAGCCCACAATGTAGGGGGTTACGAAAGCTTAGATCCAAATGTGGGTTACCAGAAGCTTAGATCACAATGTGGGTTACCAGAAGCTTAGCCCACATGAAAGGTTACCAGAAGCTTGACCACAATGTAGGTTACCAGAAGCTTAGACCACAATGTAGGTTACCAGAAGCTTAGACCACAATGTGGGGTTACCAGAAGCTTCTACCACAATGTGGGTTCCAGAAGCTTAGACCAAATGTGAGTTACCAAAGCTTAGACCACAATGTGGTTCCCAGAAGCTTAGACCACAATGGGGGTTACCAAAAAGGTTAGACCACAGTGTGAGTTACCAGAAGTTTTAGACCAAAATGTGAGTTACCAGAAGCTTAGACCACAATGGGGTTACCAGAAGCTTAGACCACATGTGGGTTACCAGAAGCTTAGACCACAATGTGGGTTACCAGAAGCTTAGACCACAATGGGGTTACCAGAAGTTTAGACCACAATGTGGGTTTACCAGAAGCTTAGACCACAATGTGGGTTCCCAGAAGCTTAGACCACAATGTGGGTTACCAGAAGCTTAGACCACAATGTGGGTTACCAGAAGCTTAGACCACAATGTGGGTTACCAGAAGCTTAGACCACAATGTGGGTTACCAGAAGCTTATACCACAATGTGGGTTGCCAGAAGCTTAGACCACAATGTGGGTTACCAGAAGCTTAGACCACAATGTGGGTTACCAGAAGCTTAGACCACAATGTGGGTTACCAGAAGCTTAGACCACAATGTGGGTTTACCAGAAGCTTAGACCACAATGTGGGTTACCAGAAGCTTAGACCACAATGTGGGTTACCAGAAGCTTAGACCACAATGTGGGTTACCAGAAGCTTAGACCACAATGTGGGTTACCAGAAGCTTATACCACAATGTGGGTTGCCAGAAGCTTAGACCACAATGTGAGTTACCAGAAGCTTAGATGACAATGTGGGTTACCAGAAGCTTATACCACAATGTGGGTTACCAGAAGCTTAGATGACAATGTGGGTTACCAGAAGCTTAGACCACAATGTGAGTTACCAGAAGCTTAAATGACAGTGTGGGTTACCAGAAGCTTAGATGACAATGTGGGTTACCAGAAGCTTAGATGACAATGTGGGTTACCAGAAGCTTAGACCACAATGTGAGTTACCAGAAGCTTAGACCATAATGTGGGTTACCAGAAGCTTAGACCACAATGTGGGTTACCAGAAGCTTATACCACAATGTGGGTTATCAGAAGCTTAGACCACAATGTGGGTTACCAGAAGCTTAGACCACAATGTGAGTTACCAGAAGCTTAGATGACAGTGTGGGTACCAGAAGCTTAGATGACAATGTGGGTTACCAGAAGCTTAGATGACAATGTGGGTTACCAGAAGCTTAGACCACAATGTGAGTTACCAGAAGCTTAGACCATAATGTGGGTTACCAGAAGCTTAGACCACAATGTGGGTTACCAGAAGCTTAGACCACAATGTGGGTACCAGAAGCTTAGACGACAATGTGGGTACCAGAAGCTTAGACCACAATGTGGGTTACCAGAAGCTTAGACCACAATGTGGGTTACCAGAAGCTTAGACCACAATGTGGGTTACCAGAAGCTTATACCACAATGTGGGTTGCCAGAAGCTTAGACCACAATGTGGGTTACCAGAAGCTTAGACCACAATGTGGGTTACCAGAAGCTTAGACCACAATGTGGGTTACCAGAAGCTTAGACCACAATGTGGGTTACCAGAAGCTTAGACCACAATGTGGGTTACCAGAAGCTTAGCCCCACAATGTGGGTTACCAGAAGCTTAGACCACAATGTGGGTTACCAGAAGCTTAGACCACAATGTGGGTTACCAGAAGCTTATACACAATGTGGGTTGC